TTTTTGACTGGTTTTGTTTTTATTTCTATGCATTAGGTTGGTCAGTTACATTTCCTGACCTTGGTGAAGAGGTCTTATGTAAGAGATGTCTTATGGGGCCCAGCAGCCCAGTCCCCTCTGGTCATCAGAGCTATCTGCATTAGGGGTTGTCACTTACGTGGGCTGTGTGCAGCCTTCTGTTGTGTCATGGCTGACTACTGTAGGTGTGCTGGTGGGTGGGGGATTGGGCTGGCCTCTGGCCTGGTTGGCTGCCAGGTCCTGCGTCTTGTGGAGGTTGCCAGTCACTGGTGGGCAGGTCCAGGTCCTGGCATGGTTGGCTGCAGGGTCTGGGGTTTCCCAGGGCTGATGCTGATTGGCTGGTGGCAGGTAGGGACCCCTCAGCTCTAATAACCTAGAAGGAGGACTCAAAATGGCTTTGTCAGCACTAGTGTCCTCATGATAGAATGAGCTCCCCCAAATGACTACCACCACGTGTCTGACCCAAGGGGAGTCCCAGTTGCCTCCTGCCTCTCCAGAATGCTCTCCAAGATCAGCAAGTTGGTCTGATCCAGGCTCCTTTCAAATTAATGCCTTTGTGCTAAGTCTTGAGGCATGTGAAATTTTGCATGTGCCCTTTAAATGTGGAATTTTGTTTTCTACAGATCTCCAACTCTCCCATACTCGAGTCTTGCTGGCCTTCAAAGCTAGATGTTCTGGGGGCTCATCTTCCTTGGGCAAAACCCTCAGGCTGGGGAGCCCAGTGTAGAGCTCAGACCCTCACTATTGGGGAGAACCTCTGCAGTTGTGGTTATTTTCCTGTTTGTGGGCTGCCTACCCAGGTGTGTGGGTCTTGACTATACTGCATCTGTGCTCCACTTATCCATCTTGTGATTCCTTCTTTATATCTTTAGCTCTAGAAAATCTTTTCTACTAGTCTTTAGGTCATTCTCATGAATAGTTGCTCTGTGTATAGTTGTAATTTTGGTGTGCCTATGGGAGGAGGTGAGCTCAGGATCTGCCTACTTCACCATCTTATTAAAGTAACACCTGGTCAAGTATTTTATTTTGTTTGTTTGTTTATTTTTAAACTGGCATGGCTTTATTAATAATATCAAACAAAATTGACTTTCAAAAAAATGTCTCCTTAATGTCTCCCATTTTTCTCCTGAACCCATTTCAATCAGGTTTTTGTGGACAGTATATTACAGAATCAGCTTGGACAAGGTTATCAATGACTCTCATTGGTATTTTGATATTTTCCAGTCAGAAGGAAAGAAGAGGGGCCGAAGAAGGCTGGGGAGGGGAAGTCTGAGACCTCAGTGTAGTCTAGCCAAGTTTGGGCCAGGCCAGTGGGAGTTCAGGTGTTTTTTGATGAGAGTGCCAAGACCTGTCAATGGGGAAAAAAGTCTTTTCAAGAACGAGTATTAGGCAACTGTGTATCTGTATGCAAAAATATGACATTGGACCCTTACCTTATACCACATACGAAAATTGACTTTAGTAGATCAAAGGCCTGAACATAAGAACTAAAAGTCTTATAAGAAGGCAAAGAGGGAAACTTTATGACATTGGATTTGGCAGTGAATTCTTGGATATGACACTAAAAACACAGGCCACAAAAGTAAATAGATTTGGTCTATATCAAATTAAAAACTTATGTGCATCAAAGGACACAGTCAATAGAGTGAAAAGGTCACCTTTGGAATGGGCGAAAATATTAGCCAGTTATATATCTGATAAGGAGTTAAATATCTAGAGTACATAAAGGACTCCTACAACTCAACAAAAAAGAAACAACCCAACTTAAAAAAAATAGAGAAACTATTTTGAATAGACATTTCTCCAAAGAAGGCATTTAAGTAAATGACTAACAAGCACCTGAAAAGATGCTTAACACTACTAACTGAAGAAGTGCAGATCAAAACCACAGTGACATATCACCTCACAAGTATTAGGATGGCTACTGTCAAAAAAGCCAGAAAATAACAGAAAAATAAGTATTGATGAGGAAAGATGTGAAGAAATTTCAACCCTCATGCACTGAAATGGAAATGTAAAACGATATAGCTACTATGGTTGGCAGTATATATATATACATACATATATATATATATACACACACATATATACACACACACACACACACATATATGTATAGGTGGTGGTTCCTAAAAAAATTTAAAATAGAATTATTGCATGATCCAGCAATTTCACTTATGGATATCTATCCAAAAGAATTGAAAGCAGGGACCTGAACGAATAGTTGTACAGCCATGTTCACAGCAGCATTATTCACAATAGCCAAAAGATAGAAGCAACTCAAATATCCAGTGATGGATGAATGGATAAAGAAAATAACGGTGTACACATACAATCAGATGTTATTCAACCTGGAAAAGGAAGGAAATTCTGGCATATACTGTAATAATCAGTGAACTTTGAGGACATTATGCTAAGTAAAATAAGTAAGTTACCAAAAGAATACTGTATTATTCCACTTGGGAAGTACCCTGACCGGTCAGATTCATAGTGACAGAAAGTAAAATGGTGGTTGCCAGTGGCTGGTGAGAGGGGGAATGGGAAGTTACTGTTGAATGGCTGTAGAATTTCACTTTTGCAAGATGAAATGTATTCCAGAGATTGGTTGCCCAACGGTGTGAGTGTACTTAATGCTACTCAACTGTACATTTAAAGACGGTTAGGGTGATAAACTAATGTGTGTGTCATTAAAGTAAAAAATTAAAAATATAATAAATAAATACTAAGTTTGAAAAAGTGATTACAGTATGAGAAACAGGATTCTTTTTATAAGAAAAGGCTGTTGACCCAGTTGTGAGAAGGACAAAGATTTTAAAAAATCAGGTAATGAAATAGCAAATCTAGGAGGCCCAAAAAATTCATGAAAAGACATTCAGTTTCACAGGTTGTCCAGGTAATGCAAATTAAGAGTCTCATACTCTACCAACTGAGCTAGCCAGGCGTGTTAAGGCAATGCAAATTAGAGTACTAGTGAAATATAGCAGTATGCTCATCAAGTGACAGAAGTAAAAAAAAAAAAAAAAAAAAACCTATTGCCAGTGGAGAAAATGATATTGCTGTGCAGAAAATGGTATTCCCTTATATTATTAGTGGAAATGTTGTTATAGCATTTTTGGAAAGTAATCTTGAAAAATCTATTTTTATAAACTGTCCCATTTAATATAAATATAATGGCCCATGCATTATGTTTACATGGGTTTATTTGTTTTTGTTTTTAACCTTAAAAGGTAAATTTTTTTACATGGATTTATTTGTGTATGATTTATATGAACATGAAAAAATACTGAAGCATACATACAAGTTTTATAGCGCAAGTATGCTGATGATAACTTCTTTCAGCTTTTGCCTAAAGAAGTCTTTATTTCGCCTTTGTTTTCCTACATTTGGGATTCCTGGTTGACAGTGTTCCTTCAGTAAACTGTAAAGATGTTGCTCCAGTCTTCTGGTTTGCATTGTTTCTAGTATACATCGGGTCTTTTGGGGCTGCTTGTAAGATGTCCTTTTTATAACTGGTTTTAAGCAACTTGTTTGATATGCCATGGTATAATTGTTCTTATATCATACTTTGAGTTTGTTTGTATTGCTTCAATTTGAAGGATTTTAGTTTTCATCAAATTTGGACTTCCATTTAGCTAAGTGATGCTCTTTTTTAATTCAGTCTTTGTGATTCAATTTGAATAGTTTCCTTTTTCTGTGTCTTCAAGTGCATCATTCTTTTGTATTGTTTTCTCTACTGTTAATTTCATCCACCGTATTTTTCAGCTCAGATTTTTTTTTTTAACATTAGAAACTTGATTTGGGTCATTTTTTCTTCCATGTCTCTCCTTAAAATGTGTATTCTTTATCCTATCATTTGTGTTGTTTTTGGGTCTCTTTTTTTCCCTCCTCACTGTGGGTGAGGTTTTCCTTCTTTGTATGTCTTATAATTTTGAATTGGATTCCAGAAGTTTGTATTTTTATCATCTCAGATGCTGGGTGTTTTCATTCCTTCTAAATGTCCTTCATCTTTGTTTTGGGACACTGTTGAATTCCTTGGGAACAGTTTGACCTTGTAATGCTTGCTTTTGAGCTTTTGAAGGCAGAACCGAAGTAGTCTTTCGTCTAGGGATAATTTTTCCCCAGTACTGAGACAATACCTTCCCCAGACAACGTTTTGTTCCCGCTGTATTATGAAATCTTTCAACTCTGGCTCATGGAAACAGACAGACCTGTGTTGCCTTTGAGAATTGTCTTACCAGCTCCTTTCCAGTACTTCCTCATTACTACTCAGCTGAAAACTTAATTGTAGCCCTTTACAAATCTCCAGTTCACTTGCTCTCAATTCATTTGTTTCCTGTTACTCTGCCTTGTGAATTCTAGCCACCTTGGCCTCCCTGAATTTTCATCTATGTATCTCAACTAGAGACCACCAACATCTGTTTGGGTTTTCTTCTATCTGTATTGTGACCTGGAAATTCTCTTCAGGCAGTAAATCAGGGGCAGTTACCTTGTTTTAATTTTCTTAGGGATCAGTGTCCTTTAAAACTGCCTGTTGTCCAGTGTCTGAAAATCATTAGTTTATGTATTTTGTCTCATTCCTTATTTATTTAAGGTAAGAAGGCAGATTTGATCCCTGTTACTCCATTATGGCTGGCAGTGGAAGTAATTGGATAAGAGGAAAGAGGTCTCTAACCACAAAGGGAAGTAAGAAGTGGGTGGGAAACTGTCTTCTATACATAAATTAAAAATGGAAAATATTAACAATTACTTTAACTGCATGCTCTGAAAGTCAGGAGTGTGGGTTATTTAATATCACATAATAATGTACTATGTAGAAATAAAGACTTATTTGCTGTTAACCCCAAAGTGATTCCTGTTGTATTTTGTAGGTTGTAGTGTAATATTGGACTTACTATTATTTGACTTGATAGAACCTTTTTGTTTAATGTGTTTACTAATGTTTTAGTATTTTAGCATATTTATAACTGTTTATTCTTTCCTAGAAAGTCCCTTAATTTTTTCCAAAATAGTGTTCTCAAACCCCAAAGATGAATGAAGGGCATGAAAAACCTGTTTGGGGAATGTACAGTCCAAAGAAGACATAGAAATCCTTACTGAGTTAGACTTAAGACTTCTACTTGGAGATGACTCACTTAAACCATTCGTAAGATAATCTGTTCTTTGAATGCTGTGTATCAGTTAGCTCTGTGATTCATAAGATTTGCAGTGGAGATAGATAAAATTTAGTGACATTGCAGTACATTATGATGTCTTGGAGAAAACTAAGTGTCCTAGGATTGTAAAAATACCTTGCCCTCTGTTTACTGTAATGGAATTGAGGAAATTCCTGAGGAGTGTTAGGAAAATTATAATTGATTTGGGAAATTACCTCATTTCTTAGTTATTTTGTCTCATTTTTTAAACTGGTTGTCTCCTAAGGGAGGGAGGTATAAGACCTTTACTGGTCATATGAAAAACTATATAAAGGGGTGATGCAGAGTACCTAATAAAATTTTATGTATATGTTTGGTATTGTGTGCCACACAAATGACATGTACTACTTCATTTAATTCTTACAATGCCTGGTAAGTCAGGTACGATACTCTGCTCTTAGTGGTATCCTTGGGTGTATTTGACTTCAGAGTCCTTGCTCCTACGCATGAGATTCCGATCCTCATTCTGCCAGATGTTAATAATGTAAACTCAGATTTTCCTTTCTTAGCCTTATATGCAAATGAAGATAATAATGATACCTATGTCAGGGTTGTTGAAAGAACCTTATAATAATGTATTTCTCAGCTTGCAATGACTTTCCCCCTAGAGGACCAGGTTTTACACTGTCTAGTGACATTGATTGTCAAGGTCACAGTGGTAGTGAGGGTGTTCTGGCATCTAGTAGGTAGAAGAAATGTTGCTAAATATCTTACAGTGCACAGGACAACCCCCACAACAGAGAATTACCTGGCCTAAAGTGTCAGTGGTGCCAGGGTTGAGAAACTTTGATAGAAAGTGACTATTCTGGTTTATTGCTAGGATACCAAACTATTTCATTTATAGCATCAGTGAGGGCTGCTAGTATGAAAATGAAGGTTTCCATTTGAATTTTTTTTCTTTTCAATTTCCATTCTAGCTTAAGAATTAATCTTTTAAAAAAATAAGAAAGGATAAAAATACTTAAAATGAGTAACCTGATGTTTTCCCCTTTTATTTAAAAAGTGAAATGGGAGAAAGAGTAAAAAGCAGTGAAAGTAATGGGAAAACAAACTTACATTGACTCATGGGTATCAATTTTAATAAAATGATTATTTAGTAGAGAAATTTCCAATGTTCAAAGTAACTTTAATTGTGACAGTAACCAAGCATATTTGAAAATACACTCTTTTTGTAGGGCAGTTTGTAAACATGTATGGTTCTTTCTTTTATCTTGTATCTTAATAATTTTTAATATATTAGCACTTTTAAAATTAACTTTTCTGGTCAATTTTTCTGTAGGTATTACCTCATTTGGAAAGCATTGAGAAACAGGAAAACATTTCTAACAAAATGTCAGCTTTTCGAAATCATTGTCCACATTTAGATTCAGTTGGTGAAATAACGAAAGAAGATTTAATACAAAAATCTCATGTAAGATAGAGTTTTTTTCCTTCATTTAAAAAATCATATTCATTTTTCTCCCAAATATGTGTTTTTGTGTAAATTACTGTCATATTCTGTGTTCCTGAATCTCAAATTTTTGTCTATGATATTAGTGAATATTTGTGAGTATTTGGTGTGTCAGTATAGTGGTGATGTTATTTATGTGATTTTCATTTCATAGGGTTCTTGTCAGGATTGTAAAGTTAGAGGACCAAACCTTTGGGCATGCTTGGAGGTATGTCTATGTTTCTTCTTAAACGTTTGATATTATAAAAGTTTGTATCCAAATAAGGATAACTAGAAGATTTTTTTGACACTTTAGAGGGTTTCATAAATGAGCATACTTTTAAAAGATCATTATTGATTATAAAAATTAAACTTCAGACTTTGGATTTTAACTTACAGTTTTTGCAGGGTTTAGTAAGTCACTAAACTCTTTTATGCTCACCTTTTGTTAGAAGTGACGCAACTTTTAGCTTAGAAATATTCTGGTTATATTCTTTTGTGCCTAGTATCTTTTGATTAAAATAACTGACTTTTGAAGTTTAATCATTAAGTTAAAACATGTGATCAAAACTTAATTGAAAATGTAATTGTAATGCTATTATTGTGAATTATACATGTTATAAAATACCTTATTTTCCTTTTTGTATAATTATTTGTAGAATAGATGTTCGTATGTTGGCTGTGGTGAATCACAAGTAGATCATAGCACCATACATTCTCAGGTATGTATATAGAAAAATTTCATGCAAGACATTTTTTAAAGAGAGCCTGAAGGAAAGGAAAAGTAAATACAACATTATTAATTCAAGTTGTAACTGAGATAAAAAATTTTGCCTCCCCTCTTGTTTTACATAAAAGATGTTAAGCCTTATCTTATGAAAAGGTAGGGAGAGGAATTGCTAAGAAGACCAATATCAGAATGAGGTTGTAATTAAGAGAGTAGAGATTTAAGAAGTGTACATCCAGATGTGTGGAGGTGATAGCTGGAATTTTAGGAAGATATGGGAGTTGAAGTCAAAAGTGGATGTCTAGGCTTATGACAGTACCTGGCTAACTTCAAGTCTCAGCTTATATTACCCTTTCCTGTACATCCTCTTATCTGATGTCCCCTTTCTACTTCACCCTGGTTGTTTGGTGTTCCTGTGCAATTCGGGCATGCCTCTTCTATAGTATCAGATAGATCTCCCGTTCTAAAGTATCCATTTCTTGAGAATGAGCTGTATTTTTCATATTGATCTCTATGGCATCACCTGTCCTCATCCACGGTTCCTCAAGAGACTTAGTTAAGCCTGAATACACCAAGGCTCTCAGGCATCATTGTACATAGTTAATTTATTTCTCTTTGGTGTATCTAGACTGGTGGTACTATGTACCATTCTTGGGAGAATTGAGAAAAGAGTTAACTCATTTTCTATACGGCATTGTTCTCTTGCAGAACTCTACTTGAGAAAGGCTAGAGTTTCACATATCCAAGATCACATTCACTGTTGCTTGAGCTGTTTTGTGCTTTGATTTGTCATTTGTGTTTTTTTGCCATTCTGATCTCCTAGAATAGTTATTGTGCTATTGTCAATTATTGTCCTGTATTGCTAACTGCAAAGCAAAATCTTAAAATAACTTGTGTTTATCTTTATAGTGAATAGTGGTGAAAAATGATAATAGAATAACTTCTAGAGTAGGCTTAGATATTGTTACTGTTCAGTATGCTTTAGCAGTCTATCTAAATAGTGTTTCTTTAGTACTCCAGTTTAAATCTTCTCTTTTGAGTGTATTCATCAAAGGCTAGCAGTTTATCTTTATAATCTTTTGAAATGTTTTCTGCTATAACTAATTTTGGTTCCTCTTCTCCCTCACCCATGAAACTGTACAGGAGACAAAGCATTACCTAACTGTGAATCTTACTACTCTTCGAGTGTGGTGTTATGCTTGCAGCAAAGAAGTATTTTTGGATAGGAAATTAGGAACCCAACCTTCATTACCTCATGTAAAACCACTTCACCAAACACAAGAAAATAGTGTCCAGGTAATCATCTAAATCTATTATATAATTAAAATACCAAATATCTTCGGGTAATAATTTCAGAATTTGTCATGTAGTTGAGATTTAAAAGACTCCTACCAAACTCATAGTTTAATTCAGCTCTCCTTTCCTTATTTCCCCCTCTGCTTCACCCCTACTGTGAACATTTTACTAATTTATTGAAAACCAGTTAGAATAGATTAAAGCTTAGCATCATATCTTTGGTTACAAAATATATGTAAGCCTGCAAAGATGGGTCACTTAATTTTGGGATTTCTAGTCACATAAAATAGGAAAGGGAAATGTGACAATAAGAATAGTTGGCTTCTAACTTACTCTAATCATCAGTGCTCTGTATGGTTTAATTAACCCATAAATTAATTTTTTTCCTTATGTATGTTATAAAAATCACATTGTATTTTTAAACTTGTGTTTGATAACAGTTCTCTTAGATTTTTTCTGTTGTATCTTTGTATCACATTCTGATGGTAGATATTTGTGATAATAAACTTGCTTGTCTCACACATTATATAACTTAAAGTGACTAGATTTTAGACAAGGTATACTCGTTGCACTTTAGATTCAGTTGAATAACTCTAGTTAATAAATCGCCATTATTATATTTCACCCACTGACACCTATATATTATTCAGAAATGTGGTGGTTTTTTTGGGGGGGTTTTATAAAGTTCAATGATTCTTTATTGTTTTTAGAAAAATGTCCCATTTTTTCTTTTCAAGAGTGCTTCCAACCTCTTTAATATTATAATACATTTAAAATCATAATATGTATGTGGCTTATAGGGATATACTGGAGCCAAGGGGTTTGATGAGTCTACATGTAGCCCTGGTTTTAAAAAAATTTTTTTTTTTTTAATGCCCTGGTAGTTTGAAAATAAACAGCTATCTGTTGCCATTTCTGCACAAATAGATTATGATTGCAAACTCTTAATGAGTGCTGAGTCTGGTTAAATGAATATACTGATGCTTTTCTAATGGCTTATGAGTAATTTAATGGTGAGTTATGTTTATAACTCATAAAAGGCATGAATTTAATTTGATGCAATTTCCTGATGATCACATTGTTGAAGAAATTACTCCGAAGAAAAAAAGTTATTTGTACAAATTTCTTTAGAAATTAGGCTGTTTGAACACCCTGTTCATCAGAGCATTAATTATGAAATTAACAATATTGGTAACCAGATGTCATTAAGATTTTTCAAACAGTTTTCTAGGAGGTGAGATTTTGAATGATTTTTTTTAAGCCTCTATATTTCTCTGTATTGAGAAATGAGAAGATGGGGCCAGTCCAAATGTCTATTATCTATAGATGCCAGGAATGTACATATATAAAGTGGGTGTGTGTAAGTGCATATGTATGCCTTGTGGAAGTGGAATAAGGCTATAATAAGCTGGAGAATCAGCAGATGGTAAGTCCATGCTGCTATTCAGTTTCCTCTTCCCACTAATTTTTGCTAAGTTGGTCCAATATACTTTGATCTGCTATTACAAGAGAACTTGCAAAATCTGATTTTTATGTGAGCTCTCCCAATTTTTAAAATATTAACTCAAAGTTTTGCTTTTGTTTTGTTTTTGTACTTTTTTTTTTATAAGTGTGGACTAATATTTGACCAACAAGTGACCAGTTGCAATCTCTTGAATTAATCCAATTCTCAGAATTAATATTGGGATTTTTTTTTTTATAATTTTAAACTACTTCATATGTATAAAAGGATGCAAACTAGCTTCAGTAAGAAGTACCAGGAGAATTACAGATGCAGATAAGTTGGTGTATTATGATGGAGAAACTTCAGTATTTTTTTTCCTGTAGAAAGTTGGCAAAAATCTGTAAAGAATGTAGGATATGTGCTCTTAGGTCTTTGTGGCTGAAATGTGATCTCACTGAATTGGAGTTAATTGTGTTTAAATTCAGGAAAGTCACAAGGGGCTTTGTTATTCAAGTGCATACGTTAGTAAAAGTGACATGCTGGTACCTAGTATAGTACCTTATTACTTTCAAAATATAAACATAAATTTTACTCTAATACTTTGATTTCTTGGAGTTGTATATAATCATTTAATATTTAGAGTGTAGATAAACATATGAGAAAAAATTTTTTTTAGAATTTTAATTTAAGGATTTGTTCAAATCTGCTATCTTTTCTGTTATCAAGGATTTTAAAATACCCAGTAACACAACACTAAAAACTCCTCTAGTTGCTGTATTTGACGATCTGGATATAGAAGTGGAAGAAGAAGATGAACTTAAGGCCAGAGGTAAACTAATTCTCCTGTGTAACACTCTCTTGTCTGGCACTGCCCATGTGTTTAGAAAACTTTTTACTAAAGCCTATGGTTCTGAGTTTAAACTATCTGTATATGATTTAGTACAGATTTTTTCTGGTCTGTAATTGATATAAGGAAATTTTAACCCTTTAGGTGTGTATTTAAATAGTTATTTGAAAATTAACACTTTGGTATAACCCTGGCTTCTCTGAGTTGTTCAAGTTGCTGTTTGTATTTCCATAATGTATTTTGTATTTCCTGAGCAAGTTTGGGAACATAATGATTACCTCGTTACGTATTCAGTAAACACTCCCAAAATTGAGTCATGGTATTGTTGAATAATGACATAACCTAAAATTTTTCTTAATAGGTCTTACAGGTTTGAAAAATATTGGGAACACTTGTTATATGAATGCAGCTTTGCAGGCTCTTTCTAATTGGTAAGTAGAGAAATTAATTTTGTTTTGTTAGTATAGCTTTTTAAAGTTACTCTTGGAGCAGAAAACCATGCTGCTATAGTATGCTCAGGAAAAAAAAAGGAGGAGTGAGAGGAGAAAGAGGAGAAAAGAAAGTAATAGTAGTACTACTACTATTAATATTAACACGGGAAAGAGTTAACAATTCTATTCATTTCCCCTAGCCAACAGGGTCTCATAAATCCCTTTGTGTATCTCTTCCCTCACCCCTCTCAATAAATATCACTCTCCCCCTTTCTGAGATGTCCCCACTTAGAAAATAACTAAAACCTAAATATGTAACTATTCCTGGAAAAGTTATTTCTTCTTTCTTGTTGAGTAACTCTTAAGGTAGAGCTGGCAAGAAGCTGGGTTGGGACACGATCCGTTGTTGTCCCACTGGAGTTAGTCTGTTCATGTCTGTAGTTGTCTAAGACTGCTGACCCTGGCTCAGATCCTAGGTCGTTGTATGTCTTTGAGGAAGTTAGTTGTTTGTCTTTGAGGAAGTTAGTTGTATTTACATCTGAATAAGGAGCTTGAACTAGTTAATTCCCCAAATCACTTTTAGTTCAGAGATCCTAGGAAAATATTTTCTGTTTTTCAGTACATGGAAAGTCTCTAATAAAGTATTTGGATTTTCTTTTGTCTTAATCCTGGTCCTGTAAAGTAGGTAAGGGCAGGCTGGACTGTTCTGTGGGCGATCACCCACGGAAGAGAGGAAGTCATAGGGCCAAGTTCTAAGAAAACGTGATATTTAGATATCTGGTAAGAGCAGAAAAAATAATAAAGAGGGGAAAATATTGCCAGAAGGGTAAAGAAAAAAAGTAGAAAAGTGCATTACATGGGTCAAGAGAAGGGAGTAAATCACCTTTGACAAATGCTGCTGAGAGGGAAATGAAAGGTGCTGACTGGATCTGGCAGCGTTGCAGACTCTGATGTGATGAGTCAAATCTGGTTTGATGGGTTGAACAAGATTAGGAAGAAATGAATGTGAAGTTGTAAAAGGGAGCAAAGAAATAATAGATACAGGGCTCTATGTGCTGTCAATTCACTGAATGACTAGAAGTCAGTTAATACTAAGCTTTGACTCTGTTACAACATTTTTGTTTTTTGAAACTAGCCCGCCTTTGACACAGTTTTTTCTTGATTGTGGAGGACTAGCCCGAACAGATAAGAAACCAGCTATTTGTAAAAGTTATCTCAAACTGATGACAGAACTGTGGCATAAAAGCAGGTATGTACTTGTACTTAATAGGTTTATTTTCTTTATTATATTTTTAAAATGAATATCATAAATACTAGACATTTGCAGGTGCATCTATAGAGATAAAAAAAGGAGAAGAGAAGCATATATGAGACAATTCAGTTTTGGGCATGTTACGTTTGAAACTGAACATCCAAAAGAAGTATCTGAACTGGAGATAAAATGTTGAACTGCTGAAGCTGCTGTTACTGACGCTTTTGAATTTTAATTCAGGAATAGGCATTGTCACAATGCTAAAATCTGACCATAGAGACATATATAAATGTTTATGTTTCTGCTTATGCTTATTTGCATTAAAGTATAGCATTAGAAGAATAATTGTTTGCTGTAATATTTTACTGTTTTTGTATTAGAACTATTGAGAAAATTGCTTTTGATGGTTTCTAAGAACTGCTCACCTTTACTCCTAAGAAAATAATCAACAAAGCTTTAACATTGTTATATTCTTAAGTGCCTCAGTTTTCTTTGAGATATTTGACTCCCTAATAAAGAGTATCTCTTAAGTTAAAAATTTGTTATTGACTGTTACTTCAGTATGCTAGGAAAAGAGGATTTTTTTGTGGAGGGGAAAGGGGAGATAATTAGGTTTAATAATTTATTAATTTTGTTTTTTTTTTCATGGAGGTACTGTGGATTGAACCCAGGACCTTGTGCATGCTAAGCACACAGTCTTTACCACTGAGCTTTATATACCCTCCTTTAGAAAAGAGGGTTTTAATGAGTTCTTTTGGAATGTGAAGATAAATCTCATTCACATCTCTAACATTCAAGAGCCAGAATTGTCTATTCTCATTTAGCCCTATTAGATATTATGCACTGCTGCCACAGGCTCTGTTTCTAAATTCCTTTGTGCAAAGGTAGAGCTAGCCCTTAACTACTATATTTAAGCTTCTTTGCCCTGAAACTATGGTTTAAACTTAATATTCTTGGACGTTTACTAACTTCAGAAGTGTTGTAGTACAGAATTCTAAGCAATTAAATCTCACATCTGGTTAACTTTTCATTTTTGTTTTCATGGGTACTTGGTTGGTTTAAATTTTTTTGTTGTTGAAGTATAGTAAGTTTACAATGTTGTATCAATTTCTGGTTTACAGTATAATGTTTTAGTCACACATATACATACGTCTATTCCTTTTCGTATTTTTTCATCATAGGTTACTACAAGATGTTGAATATAGTTCCCTGTGCTATACAGTAGAAACTTGTTTGTACATTTTTTAGTGTACTACGTATACTTAATTATCCCATACTTTTATGTAATTAAAATATTATTTTAAGCAATTAGAAGTATTTTTGAAAAATTACATTGTACAGCATGATCATTTCATTAAGGAGAACTATAAAGTGTAGCTTAAATATCAGAAATAAGTTATTTAATGAGCCTATGAAATGTACTACTGGAACTTAGAATGATTCTTTGAAACACAAATAATTTTCACCTTAACTCTTTGAATTCTTTATGCTCATTTCTAAAATAAAAACTAAAAATCACAAATTTATGAAAAATATTTTCTTCCTCAGGCCAGGATCTGTTGTGCCTACTAATCTGTTTCAAGGAATTAAAACTGTAAACCCAACATTTCGGGGCTATTCTCAGCAGGTAAGTCTTTATTGCTTTTTATTCATAATATTAATCTGTAATGCATTTGTAAAATACTATTATGCATTATGCTATTACATAGTCATTTGTATTTCTTCCCTTATAATTTATTTTACTTGTCTATTTACTTTGGGGGGTTATCACTTAATAATGTCTTTATTTGCTAAAAATAATAACCCATTATATTTTTTGCTTAAATTCTTCTACCTTTCTCTTAACTTCATATTTTTCCAGAAATTTTAAGTTTGGGGGTATGTTAACATGTCAGTGTACTCTAGCGCTTTTAGCTTTGAAAAGTTCCACATCCAGAGATAAATTTTTACCTATATTTTCTGTATTTATGATTTAACTAAAAATTGAATTCTTTAGTACATCTGTCATGTATTTCATATTATAATATGATCCAAATTTAATTTTTCACAGCTAACAAATTGTACCAAATTAAAGAATTTTCTTATCTGATTTTAAGTTTCTTCTTCATTTGTATGCTTACATTAATACATGATTGAGTCTTTTTCTGGACCCTCACATATTCTTTTTCAAAACATACCTGTACCCTGTTAACTTTTTTCTGGCGCAAATTCTTGGGTCACAGAGACTGATTTGGTAGATATGAGATATAAGTTGAGGCCTATGGATTTGTATTTTTAGTAAACATTGCAGGCTGATCAAGGATTTTTCTTTGAGATATAGTACAAAATTAGATAAAGCTTTTAAAAAGTTATTAAAATTTTAAAATTTCAGTTAATTTTTTATTGCATGAAAAATTCCTTAAATTCTTAAGTGCTTTACAATTTTCAAAAGTTTCACATACATGATTTCATATAATCCCATATTAACTCTTTTTTTCCTCCTTACACTTATATTGCCCACCTCCCTTTCCTTCTCACAACTGGTAACTACTAGTTCTCTATATCTTAGTCTGGTTCTTTTTTGTTTTATTCACTAGATTGCTGCATTTTTGAGATTCTCTATATAAAGGGTATCATACAGTATTTGTCTTTCTCTGTCTGACTTATTTCACTTAACATAATGCCCTCACAGATCCATCCTTATTGCTGCAAATAGCAAAATTTCATTCTCTTTTTATAGCTGAGTAGTATTCCATTCCATACACACGTGCTCATGCACACATGCACACATGTACATCACATCTTTATCCATTCATCTATTGATGGACCCTTAGCTTGCTTCCACATCTTGGCAATTATAACTGATGCTGCTATAAGCATTGTGGTGCTTGTATCTTTTCAAATAAGTTTTTTTTTTTCCCCCCAGATATATACCCAGGAGTGGAATTGCTGGGTCATATGGTAGTTCTATTTTTAGTTTTTTGAGAAACCTCCATTCTGTTTTCCACAGTGGGTGTAGCAATTTACATTCCCAACAGTATACGAGGGTTCCCTTTTCTCCACATCTTTGCCAACATTTTTATTTATGTTCTTATTGATAATAGCTGTTCTGACCTGTGTGAGGAGATAATCTCACTGTGGTTTTGATTTGCATTTCCCTGATGATTAACGATGTTGAGTGTCTTTTCACATGCCTGTTGGCCATCTGTGTTTCCTCTTTGGAAAAATGTGTGTTCAGGTTTTTTAACTGGGTTGTTTATTTTTTTGGTGGTGTTATATGAGCTGTTTATATATATTGGATCCTAACCCTCATATTGGTCGTATCATTTGCGAATATCTTCTCCCATTCAGTAGGTTGTTCATTTTGTTGATGGTTTCCTTTGCTGTGCAAAAGCTTTCAATTAGGACCCATTTGTTTATTTTTGCTCTGTAGATAAAGCTTTCATTTTATATTTGAACTTAGGCCATCTCTCTGAATTCTGATTGTTAGATGAGGCATGTTTTCTTTATACCTAATACTTCTCCAGTTTTTTAAAATGGCAGCAGCACCAAAAGCTGATCTCAAGATCATCTTCAGTTTTTTAAATTACTTTAGTTGTATTTAAACAACTTTTTAGAACTTAGTACTTCCTATCCTTCCAGTGCCTTAGATTCTACAGAGTTGTATTACCTCAGTATAATGCTACACATTTAGAAATCAGTTGCTAACCACATTTATATATTTTTCCCTCAAATTTCTATATACACATATTTTAAATGAAATAGTAATATCTATGTTGCTTATATATTAGGATGCTCAAGAATTCCTTCGGTGTTTAATGGATCTGCTTCATGAAGAATTGAAAGAACAGGTCATGGAAGTAGAAGAGGATCCTCAAACTATAACGACTGAGGAGACCATGGAAGAAGACAAGAGCCAATCAGATGTAGATTTTCAGTCCTGTGATTCTTGTAGCAACAGCGATAAAACCGAAAATGAAAATGGCTCTAGAAGCTTCTCTGAAGATAATAATGAAACAACAATGTTAATTCAGGATGATGAGAACAATTCAGAAATATCGAAAGATTGGCAAAAAGAGAAGATGTGCAATAAAATTAGCAAAATAAATTCTGAAGGAGAATTAGATAAAGATAGAGACTCTTTGTCTGAAACAGTTGACTTGAACAACCAGGAAACTGTCAAAGTACAAATACACAGCAGAACTTCAGGTGATAATTTTTATAATTTGCAAGTGATAGTGTTTCATTTCTAGACAAAGAGTATGAGATATATTTGTATTTAAGATTATATTTGTTATTTTACCATTTTCTGATTTTGGGGGGGCATTAGCCTAGCATGTGACTAAAATTAGAACACATTTCTAATTTACATGTTAATGTTCACAGTTTATATTTGGCATAATAAAAATGAGACAGAATAATTGATAGCTTTAGCTTAATTTTTGTGTGTAGTATATGACATTATAGTTCAACCATACTGATTTGAAGAAAGAGGGGTGTTACTTTGGGATTTTTCTAACTAGTAGAGTTTAGCAGTATTTGCATGTGAGTGTTTAGTTAATGTCAATTAAGGCAGATTTGGTTGAGATCTGCAGAATTGCAAAATAACCCAAATTGTAGACTATTAGATATAGATTGCTATCATTGAAGTTACATCAGCTATGAAATGTTTGTTATATGTTTTGATGTAGGAGTTTAATTAATTATAATGAACCCTGTTATGACAGATTATACTGTAATACTGGTCAGTGTTTCTTTGAGAAAGAGCAGGTAGCCAAATGAAAGATAGTTGAGCTAGGTTGCTTTGCAGTGTGCATTTGTTTCTTCTAGGGTTAACTCATCTTGGCCTAAGGTGTTATTTAATTTAACGAAGCACGTAAAATTAAACCATCAGAGGTTCAGATTCTCTGATCTCAATATAAGTGGCAGACAAGGAACAAAAAAATTACATTCTGTAATTACTGAAGAGTGGGAACTACTATACTATTTAGGCTTTTGAATGAACCCCCAATTTTTTCCTTGAGGAAAAGGATATTTCCTTAACCACAGGACCACTTGTGGTACAATGCTTAAATGTCTTCTAGTTAGGAAAATGTGTTAGACTCCTTCATTAGACTGACCTTACATTTAGAAGTTTATATGTGTTGAGAAGTTGTTTAGTCAATATGTGAAATTTCCTGTTGAAACACTTAGCAGTCTAGGCTAAGCCTGATTAAGCACATTTTTTTAAAGACCTAGCTTAAAAATGTCACAAAGATCATTTATGACATTCAAAGCCTAAAATATTTACTGTCTGGTCTTTTATAGGAGACATTTGCCACTCCCTGACCCAGATCATATTTACTTTATTCCCTTCTGAAAGGCCTAGAGTGAGTCTCCTGGTCTCTCCTACCCCAGTATAGGACAGTCTGCTTTTAGTCATGGTTGAGATAGTGAGAACTGCCTCTGTGAAAGTAATAAAAATCATTTGTTTTGCATTATCTGGAATAATCCTTGAAATCATTCTGTTTCAGGGTCTTTTATAAACAGTCGCTTTTCTTCGCTCAAATACTTTTGAGCAGTCCCTTGCCCTGGAATATATGTCATGTGTTAGGAATCCAACAGGAAGTTGTCAAGATAGCTCTCATGGAGCTTATATTTTCTTGATTTATAATTTAATTTCAAAAAGGCATTTTTCTGACAGAGGGATATATTTTCTTTTGTCACAGTAAGAATAAAATATTTATGGTTATTTTATCCCTAAATTTCTTCTTAGGTTTTGATTACTATGTTAATTTGGGAGAAAAATTTCTTTTTCTCCCATAGGGTTTTAAAACTTTCTAAAAACTGTCCTAAATAGCTTTTGTTTTTTAAATACTAAATTAGGATAACTGTGATCCTCTTTGGCTTCATATTTCCACTGCACACTTTCTGAATTGCCTACAAAAGTAATGTGTCATAAACATTAATTGGATTCCTAAGGTAGAAAAAAATCAGTTACTTTGCTTAGTAGGCATATTGTCTATCAAGTATTTCACTTGACATAACATGAATTGTGGTCAAAATCTCAAGTGAAGAAAGCTTTAAATCAACATTATTTGACAAGTGGAATAATTTTACTATTTAAGGTAATAATACAAATTTTAAATATTACAGAATATATTACTGATGTCCATTTGAATGACCTGTCTACACCACAGATCCTCCCATCAAATGAAGGTGTTAATCCACGTTTATCAGCAAGCCCTCCTAAATCAGGCAATTTGTGGCCAGGATTGGCACCCACACACAAAAAAGGTAGAAGTTTCAGTTGTTCAGGTTCCTTTGCTTTGATAAAGTGTTAATTATGGAATTTTATTCAAGCCTTTAAAATTGACAGCATAATTTTACCCAACAATGATTTAAAATTTTTTGTGTGTGTGGCACAAATTTAAATACAGTAGAATTCACTCTTTTGGTGTAGAGGTCTGAGTTTTAACACATGCATAGATTCTTGTTACCACCACCTCCACCAGAATCAGGATATAGAACAGTTCCAACACCCCAAAGAGTTCCCTCACACTACGCCTTTGTAATTAGAACTCCCCACTACCCCTCCCTAAGCCCCAGCCCTGTTGATCGCTATTCCTATTGTTTTGCCTTTTCCGGAATATCATATAAATGGGATCATATAGTGTGTTGTCTTTTGAAATAGGCTTCTTTCACTTAACATCATGCGTTTAAGTCACGTTGCGTGTCAGAGTAGTTGCTTTTTATTATTGAGTAGTATTCCATTATATGACTGTGCTACTGTTCATTCTCTCACTGAAGGATGTTTGAATTTGTTTCCAGTTTTTGGCAGTTATGAATAATGTTGCTATAAATATACATGTTCAGGTTTCTGTATGAACATAAATTTTCATTTATTTAGGGTAACACCTGGCTGTGGGGTTATTGGGTTTTTATTGCTTAGTTTTATGTTTAATGTTGTATGAAATTGTTTTTCGGAGTGGTTGTATTTTGCATTCTGACCAGCTATGTATGAGAGATCCAGTATTATAAAATGTAAAACTATAAAACTCCTATAAGAGTCTTCATGACCTTGCATTAGAATTCTTTAAAGATATCAGAAGCATGATCTATAAAAGAAAGAAATTAAAATCTTTCTTGGCAAAAGACACTATTAAGAGAATGAAAAGATAAAATTGGGAGAATATTTGCAGATCACATAACTGACAAAAGACTTGTATCTAGAATATATGAGGAACTCTCAAAACTTAATAGAATCTTTTCTTCAAATAACACCTTACTTTGAAGAAAAAACAGACAAGTAAAAGCAAAACTATTCTGGTTGAAATCAAGGTGGAGAGACTGAACTCTTCCTATTTCATCATGGTTTCTCTTTGGTGGTTTGTTTTTTGTGGGGGTTTGTGTGTGTGTGTGTGTTTTTAAAGGTAATGCTCTTGAAAGGTATTTTGACAAATTTCTTCAGCATAGTAAATTTTACTGTTAAAGATCCCAGAAAAAAAAATGCCAGAGGAACTACTTTGATTTGCTTTTTTGCTTTGAATTTTTAAAAATGTTCTCTACTTGTTTTTCACTCTCAGCTCAATCTGCATCATCTCCAAAGAGGAAAAAACAGCACAAAAAATACCGAAGTGTTATTTCAGACATATTTGATGGAACAATCATTAGTTCTGTGCAGTGTCTGACTTGTGACAGGGTGAGTATGAGGGATTTATAATACATAGAAAACTTCTGTCAAATGCTCTTTTTGAAACAAACCTGACAAAATGGTGTGAAAAGTTTAATTCCTTCTCCTTACTATTGATGTTTATACATGTATTTCTTGTGTTTACTTCAGTATAAATTGATTCTAGGAGTTGAATTTGTTTTTTGAAAGTAATAGCAGCATACTTTTTCCCCCCCTTTTTTTTTTGTTACAAAAACAAAAAGATGAGTCTGACCCACCATTGGACAGGCATACGTTAACAGTAAGAATTAACTCACTTCTTCATCTCTGGTCACATGTAAAGGAGATATGTTGCTTAGCAACAAGAATTGGTAACACATGCATATTCTCCCAAGGCTGATGAAATTAGTATGCTGGGAAACCATTGTTATTCACAGGCACAAGGCTGTGAATATATCTTCTCCACTTGGTTGTATGGCTTGTAAATGTTTTTCCATGTTAAGATTGGGTTCGGATAATAAAAGTATTAAGATTCATACACAAGAGCATAAATTAGAATCATCATGAGTTCTTTGGTAATACCTCTGTTTCTGAGTTTCTTTGAGGCTTTTTTGAAGAATGGTTTTACTTCAGTGCAGTGATAAATATAATTAATGATATAAAATGACATTAAAAAAACCCAAAACCCAAAGTAAGCTTCAATTATTGTGTTAGAATCTAAGTTAAATCTAAGGACTTCAATAGGGTCATTTTAATGTAGGCTATTTTAGTACCAGATATTTAAGTGGAATTTCTTCTGAAATGTTTTCAGCTACTTAAAAATTACATGCCAGGTTCTACATCTTGTTTTTAAAACTATCTAAAAACTATCACTAGAAGTTATTTTGAAAAAGAAATGCAATAGTGCTTAACAGTTCAGACCTCAAGCTACAGTGGGTGGATGTGAGGTACTTCCCTTGGCTGCAGTGTCCTCAGCTAATGGGAGTGTTAGCAGTTACCTCATAAGGTTTATGGGAAGATTAAATTTAGAACAGCACCTGGTTCTAAGCAGTTTTGCTTTTGTTATTACTATCTTTGCTGCTGTTAGTACTTAAAAGCAGTTTGATTGTGTTTTTCTTGTTACGATTTGCTTTGATCTTTGCAGTCTAAAATCTGTCCTCGAGTATTTGTTTTGGATTATTTTCATCCCATTCTTAAAACACAAAACAATTTTAGGTGTCTGTAACTCTCGAGACCTTTCAAGATCTGTCCTTGCCGATTCCTGGCAAGGAAGACCTTGCTAAGCTGCATTCATCAAGTCATCCAACTTCTATAGTCAAAGCAGGATCATGTGGCGAAGCTTATGCTCCACAGGGGTGGATAGCTTTTTTCATGGAATACGTGAAGAGGTATGTGTGTGTGTTTTCTTTGTATTAGTTGGTTCTTAAAACTGCTGTTTCTGCTGTACTGGCAGAACATTTCCTTTTTTTTTTCTGTCAATGATGTTTCAGGTTTGTTGTCTCATGTGTCCCTAGCTGGTTTTGGGGTCCAATAGTAACCTTGCAAGATTGTCTTGCTGCCTTCTTCGCCAGAGATGAACTGAAAGGTAAGAAATGTGAAATAGTTTTCATCTATGACTGAATTGTTGTGGTGATCTTAAATATTAGTGGGACTAAGTTTAAAATCTGTTTATAAAAGCTAAGTTTTCAGGCAGTTTAAGTAGTACTTGTCCGTATTGCCACTGTGCCAATGTCTACCATGGCAATATAAATACTATCAATACCCTGAAATAATTTATACGGATTCTTAGAGTTCTAGACAATATTGTGCTTGAGTTGCCTGCAGTCTGCTCTGGGATTCAAAGAAGAGAAAATTTAACCAGTATAAAAGACTTACTTGTGTGTCTGGATTAGTCTGTGAATTCCTCCATAGTATTTAAGATCCTTTACTATTTTTGTGTGTCTAGCACTTTGCTTGGACTTATAATGGTCAGTAAATTTTGTTAAGTGAAGAAGTGGGCAGGATGTTATTTACATTATGTTATTTTAGATAGGCCTGCAAGGTTGGAAAGAAGGAGTTCAAGGGTGTTGTAGGCAAGGTAACATCATGAGCTGACTCTTGAGCAGAGACTAAAAAATGTGAGCCTTGTGTTGCTGTGCTACCAGGTCAGCCTGTGGCAAACTCAAGGAATTGCAGAACCAAAAGAAAATAACTTGCTTTTAATTTGAGAGGAATGACCAGGTCTGTTCTATTTTCAGGTGACAATATGTACAGTTGTGAAAAATGCAAAAAGTAAGTGCCATTGGCAGTGCTTTCAACTGCACATTTTGTATTTTAAATGGTATTTTTCTTGGTTATTTGACTGGGCATGTGGGGTTAATTTTCCACTTTATTTAGAAAAATTAAGGTCACTAAGCTTTGTCCTAGTGAAACTGAAGAGACTGGTTGTTCTGTAAAACAAATCTGTGGTAAAAATTTAAGAAAGTTAATAGACTAGCTAAGATATGAAAGTATATTTTGAAATATAAAATAAATATGTAATTTTGCATAAACCATTTTCTAAATGTGTTGCAGACATACTAGAATATATAACATTTTCATTACGTAGGTGAATTTTGTCATCATAAATAAAGCAATATTCTCTTCTGGGTTACCATTTGAACAGACTAGATTTAGAAAGTGAAAGTGACTCTAAAGATACATAGTTTCAAATCTGCATAAAATTCAGAAAGCTTTATACCATCTCTAATGTTACCTGCTGTCTGATGGCAGAATAAAAAGACAGTTAAGTATGATTTTGTTTCTTTGTATCTACTATTAGCTACCTTCTTCTGTCTTGTGATGAGTTCTGGCTTCTTGGTGATAAGTTAGAAAAGAAAAGTAAATGGAGAATTGAAAACAAATATGTTTGAGGCAGACTAAACTGGGAATTTTTCTGAGTCTCTCTAATAGAAGAACAGTGGCCTCCTAATAAGATCTGGAATCTTCATAATACAAACTTCTGGCTTTTGTCAGTAATCCAGGGAACGTTGATCTGCAGCTGTTGGTCTTCTCCATGACAAAAAGGAATGATATATTGTTTGGTCTATGAGGATAAAAAGCTGCCTTGTATGTTCTAGGAAAAAATATACCCCTAGTGAATTGGAAAGTATTTATTATCATGTCTTTGAAACCATAGCTGATAGCTGAAAAGGGAGCTGGCCTAGAGGGAGAATCTTTCTTGAAAAACAATGTCAACTAGGAAAAAGATAATCATGAGGTTGGAAAAGAACTTGCATCTACCTCGAAATCCAAACTGGAGATCTATCAAGTGTATATGAATATTTATTGTCAATAATAACCACTCTTTATCTCAAATTATTTGTTTCCACATTTAAGAATAAAGGTTGTAGATTTTATGTTACCCAGTTTTACTTGATATCTGGATGTTATAAAGGCATAACCAGGCCATAGATAGTAGAAGATATTCATCAAAGAATTATACAACTCACTAAATTTTTATTACTGATATCTTCATTTAAATAATTTTTACAATAAAAGATTCCAATGTTTCAATAGTATATATTTTTAAATGGGGTAGCATGTAATTCAGTAGTGAGCATTTTTAGTCTGATAACCTCTTGTTTCTGCATTTTTTAAAAATTTTGCTGTATATTTGAAAATACTAAAGGTTTTATACATTCATATGAAAAGCAGGTTTATTAAAATTGGTTTTCTCTTTTTACCCCTTAGGTTGAGGAATGGAGTAAAGTTTTGTAAAGTACAAAAGTTTCCTGAGGTATGGACTTTATCATAATTTAATTGATATGGTAGGAACATATGGCATTCATATAACATGGTGTAATAAATTCTTTAGCATTGGTTAAAGAATGGAATGGTTCTATTGACCAGTTATTGTGTATACCCTATTAGGATTATCCATTTTTAAAATACTGAGTTGCATACCAAGTAAATGCTCTTACCAGTAAAACTACGTTGAACATAATTTAATCAGACACCGTTGGATCTTGCAGGTATAAAATGTAAAGTTTGAAAGCCAATACCTGTGAACTTAGGATGTACCATGTTTCACTTTTTCCACATTCTGACATCTGCAAAATCAGGTTATCAGAATTGCAGGATAATGCTTACTTTTGACAATATGTATGTTTAATAGATTCTTTTATCTAGCATATAAAACAATAGAATTTTAAATAATCTTACCTCTCTTCTTTTAAAAAGATTTTGTGCATCCATCTTAAAAGATTCAGACATGAACTGATGTTTTCCACCAAAATCAGTACTCATGTTTCATTTCCACTGGAAGGCCTGGATCTTCAGCCATTTCTTGCTAAAGATAGTCCAGCTCAAATTGTTACCTATGATCTTCTGTCAGTTATTTGTCACCATGGAACTGCAAGTAGTAAGTATAAGAGTTTGAAATATGTTCTTAGATTTAAAAAAAAGAAGGGTGTAAACATCTGAATTGATCTCTTAAACGACACCTGATTGAACAAAAGGAAAAAAATGGAAAGTTAGATTTTTATTAATTTTTTTTTAATTTTGGTTACTGAAAACATGTCAGAAATTTTAGGAAATTGAATAATTTTACTCTGAAGTGTTAAATACTGGAAATTATATTTTGCGTGAAGATAAATAATAAAGACTAACATGATTTTCTTTACACTAGGTTGTTAAAGATTACATTTTCTGTCTTAATATTTATTTCCTCAAGTGGTGGTGGTGAGGATACATACTGGAAAAAAATAGAAGTTCTTGCTGTATTTTATTCAGTCTGTGCTAGGAACTGATGATACAGAAGTAGTTTTATTTTCCATTCTTGTGTTAATTTTGTATTACTGAAATGATTTAGAATTTTTTCTACTTAAATTCAGGTGGACACTATATTGCCTACTGCCGAAACAATTTAAATAATCTCTGGTATGAATTTGATGATCAGAGTGTCACTGAAGTTTCAGAATCTACTGTACAAAATGCAGAAGCTTATGTTCTTTTCTACAGGTGAGAAAATAACGGATAGTCCATTTTAACAAATAAAGAGAACATCTCATGTTGGGGTTAATAGTGACTTCCGAGGCTTTCAGAGTGGATTGCTGAGTAAAGATTAGAAGTTATTTTACTCTCATTTCATTATACAAGTAAAAATAAAGTGAAAAGTTCTATGCAGAATGATGTTTGGTTAAGAAAATGCTAACTCATTTAGTCGAAGGGCAAAGGAATATATTTTGTTTTAGACAGATTGGTTTTAATTTAAAAAAAAATTAGATATTGACCGTAGGGATTAAGTACCATATTTTCTCCTAAAATAGCAAATAAAGGAGGTGCTAGTATAAAAATAAATCCTTGGTACTTTTTAGTGTCTTATAAAAGATTGTACTAGCTACTAAAATAGGAAAGCAGATTAACTATTTAGATTGCTCTTATTAACAAACATTTGAATGTCTATTCAATACCAGTAGTTATGTGGATACCAGTAGTTAAGATACAGTATCAGACCTAGGGGTGTATAATGTACTTGGGAGGGGGGAAGGGGGTGGTGAATCAAAGTATATTTCTCCTGAATAGTTTTCAAAACCTAATAAAATTTGTAGTACAGTCCATTCTCCAAATCCATGGGTTCCACATCCGAGGATTCAACCAATTAAAGATCAAAAATATTTTTGGGGGGAAGATCCCAGAAAGTTCCAAAAAGCAAAACTTGAAGTTGCACACCAGCAACTGCCTATTTACTGCTATTGTATTTACCACTATTTACGTGGCATTTATTGTGTTAGATATTGTAAGTACTCTAGAGGTGATTTAAAGTATATGAGAGGGCACACATTGCACTATTTTACATAAGGACCTTGAGCATTTGCAGATTTTTGGTATCTGCAGGGGTCCTGGAACCAATCCCCCATGGATTCGGAGGGACTACTGTATTAATGTATATGCTAAATCTAACAAGTGCAAAAATTCACTTACAAGCCTGACGGAGTAAAATGCATTAATGAATCATTGTCTTTAATAGGAAGAGCAGCGAAGAAGCACAGAAGGAGAGGCGGAGGATATCAAATTTGTTGAACATAATGGAACCAAGTCTCCTACAGTTTTATATTTCTCGACAGTGGCTAAATAAATTTAAGACCTTTGCTGAACCTGGTCCTATTTCAAATAATGATTTTCTCTGTATTCATGGAGGTAAGAAACTCTGTAATGGAAGTAGTGGTAAGCGTTTGCTATTAAATAATTTACAAGTAAGAAAAGAGCCAAGAGTTTCCCTCTTAGCTTTATTTCCCACTTCCCCATCTGGAGTCCAAAGTTAAGTGCGTTTAATTTGCTGCGGTTTCAGAAATAAGTTTTTTTTTTTTTCTAATTATAGGCAACCTGTAGCCTCTTCACAGAACAGATGTTTTTTGAGTACCTGTTCCAGACCCTCTCCTAAAGCCTGGGTTTATCAAAGACACTATATCTATTCTCAGAGCTCTAATTTCATAGAAGAGAGAGATACATAAACAGCCAATTACAGTACAGTGAGCCAGTTTTATTACATATTATTTTTCTCTGCTGAGAGACATTCAGCTCCAACTGTATCCATGGCTCTTATTCCCTTTGTCTAAATGAATAGCTGGCTCTTTTCCGAAGTATGAAAATGTACTTGGAATTTAACAAAAAAGCCTCATGTAGTTATTTGCTAAATATAACTTATGCCTTTGTGGTTGGCTGTGTTAGTGTTTGTTCCCACGATACTTAACACTTTAGTGTTACACTTTAATTAAATTTCATGATTAAAGACTTGATATTATCATTAATTATTTTTGCTTGAAACCACAAGAGATAGTAGGATTGTCCCTTATTGGATTTAGAAATCTAAACTTTGGGAATATTTCTGTATGTGAATTTTTTTCTTATTATTTCCTTACTTGAACTGCTAGCATAAGTTCCTGTTCCAAATGTTCCCATAAACCCACAATGATCTGTGCCTGCCTTTTATTATAGTTACTTATATAAATGCTTCATTTCTTCCGCTAGCTCATAAGCTCCATGAAGGAAAGATTGTCTCTTGACTTATCTCTGATTTGCCCCAATGCACAGTCAAGTCTTAGTAAAGATTTATGTAAGTTAAATACTTGAAGATCTTGGTTAGCTGATTTTTCTCTATTTTAAGAAATAAGTTCATCTTTAGGAACATATGCTTATACTTAACTTTTTGGGGAGGAATTTTAAGAATAATTATTGAAAAATGCAAGTGATTAATCAGTTAAAAGCAATACAAAGAAATTTAAGAATGAGACAGACCCATTTAAACTTTTTTAGGTGTTCCTCCACGAAAAGCTAGTTATATTGAAGACCTGGTTTTGATGCTGCCTCAGAACATTTGGGATAACCTATATAGCAGGTTTGTTTTTTAAATCAGACAGTATGGTATTGTGAAAATCAGTTTGTGAAATTCTTTAAAAGGGGATTGGATTATTTTATATATGCTACTTGTGCTGTATGCTGCTTGTGTAGAATACTGCCTTTTTCCTTCATTTATTCACTCTGAAGTGTGAAGTTGACTTGTAGCTAGTGTGGCCTAGTCTGGATAATTAATTCTAATTTTTATGTTCTGATTATCTGTACCTGTAAGAGTATGCTGTGATATTTAAGTCTTAAATTTTAAAGTTTTAAATTTTATGTTAAAATATTTCACACATAATTTCCTCATTATATTTTTCTTAGTTAAATATTGAAAATAATTTATGTCATGAATTCTTACCTGAGGGGCCAGGGGTAGCCTCCTTATGATTAAAACTATGGTTATGTATAACTTAAGATTTATATGTTGTATGCTAATTCTTGAAAGCTGCTTCTTTTACTTAATGTTGGTGTTGCAGCACACGTATTTTGTTACAAAAGTGGCTATAAGGGAAAGTTGAAATATAGATAAAGCAGGCAAATCAATAAACTGATAAAATCATTGACTCCAATAAACATAAAATCAAGTCCTTATGGTAATCTGGATTTTACATTTTACTAAAAATTGGAGACATTTTCTTAGAACATCAGCTTTTTTCAAAATTGTCATAGTTATTCAATTCTTCATGCTTTAGGTATGGAGGAGGACCAGCTGTCAACCATCTGTACATTTGTCACACTTGCCAAATTGAGGCGGAGAAAATTGAAAAAAGAAGAAAAACTGAATTGGAAATTTTTATTCGGGTAAAGTGATGCTTTTCAAATTATAAAAATGCTTTAGGATAAAGAATTGACCATTGGAAGAACTATATTATGTTAGTGAAATGATTGGATGAAAGAGTTGTAATAGATTTTAGGTGTTAAGAGTGCATAACAGTGAGAGACCAGTCAGGTCACTGTAGTTCTGGTGAGTTAATTTCTCCTGCTGTAGATTTTTGTTTTTCATGCACTGGTAATAGATTTTGTTTTATGTATTAGTGCTGGCAAGAAATCTCCTTACTGATATGCTAAAGTATAGGTTTCCATAAGTTAGTGTTTTTTTCTGAAAGCATGTACCCAGACTGCATTCTCTACTCCCACCTCTTTATGGAATATGGTATTTTTGGTGGAGACTCTCTGTGCTTAAACCTAGTTCCCACACAGTGAGTATATTACAGGGTATTCTTTGATGGCAAGCAACAGGAAGTCTGGTCACAGAGTCAGTAGGAAGAACTGAATAACCAGGTTTTATGGGCAAAGACTGGTACAGTTCCATGTATCTAGGCAAGATGTAAGTCTCTTCAAAGTGCTTCTGTGAGTAATACAACTCTAACTGTGTATTTATTACTCAGATTCCTAGTAGGGAATACTAGTAGAGTTCGGATCACCTGGGAGGCATGTTCATTGATAATCCTACTGATATTATATTGGTGGAGGGATAATTCTGTAAGCAAAAATGAAGATCTTCTGGTAAAAGAAGGGGAGAATTTATTTAACAGATGTAATAGATGAACAGTATATTCCATGGTGTGGACACATTATATACACACACACAGAGACTTCTGCTTCTCTTCATAGATTTAGGGGGCTTTCTGTGTGTCCTTGCCTAGAAATTTTCACATACACAGGAAGATATAATAGGTAAGGATTTATTTATTGTGCCTGAGCCTCGTTTGCTTCCTAAATATAAGGAGGCCAATGAACATAGTTCATTCTGTGAGCGTTTAAATAAGTGGCTAATGACTGTATCCATTAGAATTTAATCAGCAAAAGCCATTCTAAGTATTTTTAGTAGAACAGGAATGCAGGCAATGAAAGATTTAAATAACTACTAAAAGAACTAGGCAGTGAAGATGCAGAAGACCACAGCTGACTTTTAGGAAATCTGAAAGTGGAGTAGGCTGCCATACTGGAGGTAGGAGTCGGGGCAGTGGCCCGCAGTGGGGTTTCAGAGCCCAGAGAGGGTAAAGAAAGCTTCTGTGTAGTGGTGTGGTCCTGGTCAAGGATGTTGGAGCAGAGGCAGGGTGAGAATGGATGCCCACGTTGGCTGGAGATCGGGTGTGAGGGGACACAGCTCAGTGGCAGTGGTAGAGTTGAGGGATTGTTTCTGTGTGTAGAATTGATCAAATAATTAAAGTATAATGAGAGCCAGATTTCTCATTGTCAGATGAGGGAGCTACAAATATGGAAAGAGAGAAAACTAAATTGGACTCTGTTATTGGATTAAAATTGTAGGTATCTTTGTGAACTCATTGTCATATATTTATACATACATACATATAGAGGTTTAAACGTGTGTATGTGTACACGTGTATAGAAAGAAATGGTGTACATATACTAATTTCCTAACTCTGTCACTGAAAGGGCTTAGGAGCAATGATAACTCCAGTAGGGTTGAGCATACCTAGCTTTTATCAGACCTTGGCTTCTAAATATCTTTCTCCAGTAAAAGGAATCTGCCCTCCTTGGAGAAATGGGCCAGGGCAAGGGAAATTACAAGATGAGCTTGAAACTTCTTACTGTGCCAAAAATTAAAGAAGTTTTTGAAGAATGATGGAGAAATGTCAAAAGTACACAGAAATTAGCTTGAAGGGACTCCTACTTGTCAAATTTGGGACAATTGGAGCTTCAAAATAAATTACAATAATATTATAACCCATTAAACAAAATAGGAGATATCTTCTTGTCTATACTGACATAAATAAGTGAATAAATTGAAAGATTACTGAGGAATGGAATATTAACATAGTTTCAACATACTCCTCACAAAATATTTATTAATTGTGAAGAAAAAAGACTAACTTTAAGCAAAGGAGCCTGGCACCAACTCAGGGAACTTACTAAAGAGAACATCAGTAGAAATGGAACATAACAAAATCATGTGCCAAGGTAGGATACAGTGAGAAAAAAATAGAGCATCACTTGTTTGGTACACAATGCGTAACCTGAATCTAAAATGAGAAAAGACAGACAAACCAAAATCGGAAGACATTTTGTAAAACAACTGGCCTGTAATCTTCAAAATTGTCAAGGTTGTGAATGTCAAGACTGAGGCACTGTGCCAAATTCAAGGGAATATGAAGTTAAATGCAACAGGTGATTCTTAAATGGATCCTTTGGCTATAAATACATGTACTGAATCAATTAGAAAAACTTAATGGAGTCTGAGGATTAGGTGGATTAGGTGCTAGTATTATAGCAGTGTTAATTTCCAGATTTTTATCATTTGTGTTAATTGTGTAGGAAAAAGTCCTTGTGTGTTTAGCAACTTACTCTGAAATGGTCTAGGAAAAGAACATTTCTTTGTGTTAATGCTGGTACTGGAGTTTCCTGTAAGTCTGAGATTGTTTCAAAGTTAAAAAAATTTTAAATTGCACAAAGCTTCTGGAAATTATCTATACTGCTTGCCACTGATGAGTCTCTGGAAAATGCCTAGAAACCTGATAGACTTGACGAGCCACTAATCTCAGGACCCTGGTGAGTTCTGTTCTGAGGATGTTGCTATAAAAGATGTTAGCTGCCAGGGCAGGATATAGCTCAGTGGTGGAGCACGTGCTTAGCATGCATGAGGTACTCGATTCAGTTCCCCAGTAGCTCCATTACAAAAAAATTAACAAATGAACTTAATTACTCCCCTCCTCCCCCCCAAAAAAATAAACAAAAATTTTGTTTAATTAAAGAAACGGTGTTAGCTTCCTGTGACACCAAGTGAGGAATTCTTGAGAACATGCTTGGAAGTGGTGGCAAAATATTATTTGTGAATGCCTCAGTCCTGCCCACAGCAGCCACCAGAGAGGGTGGGGAAGTTTCTCTTTTTCTTGTACTTTCCATATACTGCATATATCATTGGCAGTGCCTAATGTAGAGATATCCTGGAAAATGTAGTCTTCCCTTTTATGGAAGAGTGTAAGAATGAATGGAGATGACACCTTAACGAACAATTAATACAGTATAGTCTGCCCCGCTTGTCAGCTCAGCATCGGCATGCATTCACACTTCTGAGCAGCAACAGTAGCAAATGTATCATGTTCCTGCTTAATATGGTGCAGCTAGCTCATCTACCAGTAGGTGCAGCATTTACCCTTTCCCTAAACTTGAGAGACCCGAAGTCCCATCAGTCACTAGTCCATTTCTGGATAACGGTCATTCATCCTTAGTTCAGTCAGTTTAGTCACAATCTCCCTTTTAGATTCTGTAATCTAAAGAATAAACCATAGGTTAACCAATAATAACATACCTTATATGAATTAGTAGAGGACTGAAAGAAAGGAAAAATAAGTTGGTAATTTTTCACAAATTTACTAAATGCTTACAAATATGTACATTGGGCAAGGGAGAAATATGTGTCTATAGCTGATAACTACCCTTTCCATATTCCCCATTTTCTCAGCCAACACTTCAGCTGATTATGGCTGTGTTTACCTGGTAAAGTAACCCAGACCTTCATTCCTGAAGAATCTGAATGGTGCTTGTAGTGGTTTGAATGGTGTTCCCCCCCAAAAAGGTATTTCTGTGTGCTAAGCCCTGTGAATTTGACTTTATTTGTGAAAATGGTCTTTGCATATATAATTAAGTTAAGGATTTTGAGATGAGATCACCCTGGGTTATCTGCATGGACTGTAAGTCCAATGATAAGTGTCCTTATCAGAGAGATACACAGGAGAGATACGGAGATGAGGTCAAAGCCATATGAAGACGGAAGGCAGAGATTGGAGTGTATGGTCACAGAGCTGAAGCTTAAAGAAGCAAGGAACAGAATCTCCCCTGTAGTCTCTGCAGAAAGCATAGTCCTCCCCACACTTTGGCTTGGACTTCTGAGCTCCAGAACTTTGAGAGAATAAATACCTAGTTTCAGCCACCAGGTTTGTGATCATTGGTTATAGCAGCCCTCTGGTATGGATACAGTAGGTGCAGTCTGGGTTTCAGGCATAATCCTTCTTGTTCTTAGTAGTTACTTTATTTTACCCTTTATATAGCCCCTACTGTAACCTCCCCACTCCTTTTGCCTGTTAGTTCAGTGACATGAGGAACTCAGAATGGCCAGAGGAGTGTCTCATCTTCCTATCCAGTAAAACCACTGTTGATCCCTTTGAGAACTAATACCTCTAAACTAGTAGAGAACAAAGTTGTGACAATGAGGAGCAAAGCCTTTGTGAGCGTCAGTGGGTAGTAATAAATAACTCCTGCATAAGCTGTCCATATCCTTTACTTGGCACCTAGCCTCAGGTTTTCTGGTTGTGAGAAAAGCAGCGCCATATATGGTTTCTGGTTTGGAACATATACCACATCATAAAGGACAGTACCAAACCAACAGAGTTTTGTCACTCAGGTACAAAAACAGTCTTCCGTAGGCCAGCAGCTTTTAGGTGATGACACGTGGTAGTCAGTGAATGCTAAGGATGTGAGCCCATTTCTTCATTTGTTTTGTGTAAAATTAGCTCCATAATCAGAGGAAATGGGGAATATTATCTCAGTGAATGAGACACAGTAAGACCAAGAATGGTGATACTTGGAGAAACATTGTGGGTTAGGAAGGTAAACCCAAATCTAGTGTAAGTTCTAAGTATTTGTAAACAACAGATCATCAAGGGACTTATATCTAGACTATATAAAGAATTTATACAACTAGGGAAGACAAATATTCCAATTTAAAAATAAGCAGAAGATTTTAATAGACATTATCCTTAAGAAGATATGACTGATAAGCACATGAAAAGGTATATACCGTGAGGAGTCATCAGTAGAATACAAATTAAAACCACAGTGAGATACCACTACACAACTCTTAGAATGGTTAAAATAAAGAAGTGGACAATATCAAGTTCTTACAAGAA